ATAGACAGATAGATAGCTAGATAGATAGATATCATAGATAGATAGATAGATAGATAGACAGATAGACAGGGATGGCTGCAGATGTGTGTGACATTGCCAAGCCGAGCTCTGCGAGATTTGCGACAATCTGGGCTCCTTGCGATGATCTGGCCCTCCGCTGGGCCCACCTTTGACTCGAGGGCTTGGGATTTGAAAAATGTTGGGTAAATATAGGGTGTATAGTAGGTTTATTAGGGTCCCAGGGTTAAGTGCCCATACTAGGGGCCCATGGGTTCAACCTTAGAGTCTTGGGGATTTGGTAGGTATACCTCCAAACCTCATGCCATGCACTCTGGCGAGACAGCGAAAAGCAAACAGAAGTAAACGCGCTAAAAACAGGAGAAACAGAAGCCAGGCAAACAGCATATGTTGCAGGAAACCCTCAATATAAACAGCTGTATGCGTGCAGAAGTATGTCGAAATGGAAAGGCACACATGTACGCACGCGCAGATTCGAAACTCTATATAATATACATACATACATACATACATACATACATACATACATACATACATACATACATATATATATATATATACATATACTTATCCGTGTATCTGTTCATGGTTTGTTTACGGATGTCTTGTGTATAGACATACACATATACGTATATGTATGTATGTATGTATGTATGTATGTATGTATGTATGTATGTGTGTATGTCTGTATGTCTGTATGTATATACCTGTATAAGTGTATGTGTGTTTCACGTAAAGTTATTCAAAGAATTGCTTACAGCTCAGTTCAGGCTAATTACGGCTAGGAAGGAATTGGACTCGATATACAGCCAGTATATATATATATATAACTCTGTACGAAACAACACACACAGACGCAGACATCCACACACGTACACATAAATAAATACATACATACATACATATATATATATATGTACAGACAAACGTACATACATAAGTATACATACAGACAGACGGCCAGACATCATCCAACACTCCATCCATCCATCCATCCATCTATCCATCCCTCCGTCCATCCGGGCGTGCATCCAGAATGCAGACTTTGATGTTTACATCCGTACATGGTTTGAGTGAGAGAGAGAGAGAGGGAAAGAGAGAGACAGAGAAATACTGAACCTGAAACTGAGACAGAGAGAGAACAAATGGGTGCAGGCATTACATTACATCACGTGCAGTCATATCATTACATTCCTGTCCATTACACGCTGCGTTGCCTTGAACTGCATTGAAGTGCATTGCTTTACTCTGATTACATTCATTATTGCACGAGTTGCACTAGATATACCATTGCACTGCATTACACCATCTTACACTGCGTTACACCACGTTGCACTACACCACGCTACATTACCTTACGTTACATTACTTTACATCGCATGGCATTGCGTTGCACTACGATGCATATTTACACTCAGGTGTTGAGACAGTGAAACATACATGATTATGCGCACAGACCTTGCTATATGTTCATATCACGCTGCGTGCCATTCCTTGCAACGGTTCTGCAGCAACGACCAGTGCAGCCAGCACTTCCTACCCCCATGCCCAATCCCCAAACCCCGTTCCTGAGCACGCGGCCGCTCGCCACTCCTGCCTGTACCAGCAGTAGTCCATCTTGACGCTGGGACCTTGAACGCTGGGAGTCTGGATCAAGGAATATAGGGGTTTCAGGTTGCGAGCATATCTCTATATATATATATATATACATAGATACACATATACATCATATTTCTAGCATGTCTATGAAGAGGGAGAGAGAGAGAAAGAGAGAGAGGTGAATAAACACAGATATCTTACGGCATGTGAATACAGCGTTTGTATATACACATATATATATATATATATGTGATGATGTAGATACATACATAAATACATGCATAGATCATACGTGCATACATACGTACATACAGGTACGTAAATATGTATATGCAAAGATATAGTGCTCCTACAGAGTGGGACTTGTGTCCAGCCGCTTCATGCTGTTGTCCTAGAGCTTTCGTGTCTCGATTTCCTGTCAGTATCCATGTCGACCTGGCTGCCAGCCTGCCCATCCTTGCCTGTCACACTATCAAGCAAAGCGCTCCTCAAGAAGTCAAAAGCAGCTGGCAGAGGCCAAACACCCTCCACAGGCGATGCAGATCCGGCAACCACAAGAAACAACATCACATCACGATTATCAGCAGGATTCTCATGGTGTCTACATGTTGCCGGTCAGAATCACGAGCAGGTCATAAGCACAACTCTACATGCAAAGATCCTGGACGTTGCGAACTCGCGCAGAAAGGCCTGTTGCCCAGATCAATCCGACTTCTGGCTACTGCCGCTCTGACACAACGCCTCCCAACCCCGGCAGGCCCTAAAACCATACAAAAACCACCAGGCCGCATCGAAAACAGATTCTTCCGAGCACCCTGCCGGTCCAGGAGAAAGCCTTCCTGGAGAACTTGGTGTTTGCCTGCCAGTTGTTGCAGGCGAAAATAGGAGCGGAATAGATGGACCAGAGCTTTGGCGGCTCTATTACTAGGGAACCCCGAACAAGCCGTCCTCCTTAGAATCAGACTCCACTTCTCACCAAGGACCCAACGGCAAGCACACGTGGATGCTAGGTAATGAGAGTGTGGCGAAAAACTGCGCAAGTAGGCTTCAGACTGGGCAATGTGTTTTCCTACATGTGGTAACTTAACTTAAACTTCTTAACGAGCATTGAAGATACAGTGTATGTGAAGATGTGCAG